TTTGGCCTATAATAACATTGAACAAGATAGTCTGGTAAAATCATACTTAAATGTTTATTACATTGTATTCAGGGAGTAAGAACAGACTAAACATAAATGCTGTTGATGATGCTGGAGGATATCCTTTATTCCAGATCTCTAACAATTTCAAAACCGCTACTTCTGTATTGCTCCTTCCTCTCAAATTCGCCCCAAGAATGTCTGTTTTAGCACATCTGGAGGGGGAAACTCTGTGTTTAATTTTGTTGCTTACAATTAACGCAAATATGACTTTTCTCTAGAAACCTTCAGAGGCATCTACATTTCTGCACTAAATATATGTATGAAAAGTAGGCATTTAGAGGCACTTCCTCCACTGTGCACCCATCAATAGCGCTTCATAGGTGTCTAAATTAAACAGATCTTTTCCCATCCAAGTATAAGATTATAGGATAGGCAAGGCATCTGTCTTTCCCTACTCATTTTAGTGAGAAATGTTTCTAATGCACCACTCACAGAAATAATTGTAAACGTGCTTTCTTATTTTGCTCTAGATTTTTAAATTTCTTGCTTCCTCTCTGTTCTGCTCATGAAGGTCAGTGAGGCTGGTGTAATTTTTAATTTTTTTATATATCTTTCTCTGATTACTTGAGTAATTCATATATTTCATGCTTGCATCCAGTTTTTCTACCTTTCAGTTTATTTCCTGTCCTGCCAACAGCATTTTACTTCTATGGAGCCATAATCCAATGTGATAGTAGTTAATGCTGGGCTTAGCTCGTTTCTAACTCTGTGTGAAAAATGTTTCTTTCATCCCTCATTTAAATGGTTTTTGTTCTCTGTTTTTAACAGTTGAATCTAACAGATTGAGTGTTGCTTCTTCTGATCCATGTAAAAAGGTTCATTTTATTGCTGGATAGTAGTTGACCCTCAGTGTCTTTAGATTTATCTCCTCTGAAAGCTTTTCATTGTTCTGTTAGGTTTTTTTATTATCTTTTTTAGTCCGTACATTCTACATCATGATCTTTATGGTAAACAGTATCCTAGTAACAAAAGTAATTGGCTGTTGAACTCAGAAAAAATCTTAGCTTGCATTGTATTTCCAACAAAGAGCAAGGCTGGAAGCAAGCTTACAAATATCTAATGGACATAGCCTGAAATTATGGAGCAGGAAAGATTGGAAACACCTGGCATTTAAAACATATGCAAGATTCTTGTTTTAGAGTAAATTAAAGGTATTGACAATCAGAGTAAAATATTATACACAACTCAGTCTGTGTATTTCTGAGGTCTCACTCAGCAAAGATCCTGGACATAGTGGGATGATGAATACAGGTAAATTGCAAGCCTGTGTTCAAATGCCTAGCTGAACTAGGATCTCTCTGCTCATATGCTTACTAGATATGCACTTAGTCATGTGATAAAACAGAATATGAAGACACAAAATCCATTAAGGTGCTGCAACTAGTTTTATACCCAATATAATGCAGGGTAAACATTTTTAACTTAAGAAACAAACTCTGAAAAATGCTTAGCAAGTGGAGCCCTAAAATAATTTTTCATGCATAATTCAGAGCAGTTTGTTTGCTTGGCCAAGAAGTATTTCCAAAGATACAAGAAGATGGAAAATGTATGATATGCATATAACAAGGTAAACTTTTTAACATGGCAGTTAAACATTCACTATAGTAGAGACTGACTGTTGTATATTGAATGTCATGTCTTTTTTCCAGAAGCTGAGCAGTATTCTTTGAGTCAAGTTATTTCAATACAATCATAATTGATGTTAAAAGAAAATGTAAATTGGAAAAGATCTTAATTTACTGTTGGAAAAACTATATTCTAATTGAAATATCTCACCCTAGTAAAACAATCAAAATGACATATAAAATGATTGATATGTCCTTAAAAACAAGTTGTTTGTCCTGTATAATGATGACACTTCTTTTAAATACTTTCAATAGAATATTTCTTCACTGATTTGCAGAGCATGATAGAGACAAAAAGATCTGAAGTCCAGAGCGAAAAACCAAGCAAGCAAACAAGAAAATAAAGAAGCTTAGCCTTTTAAAAAGTCCTTTAAGTGAAACTTAGACATTTAGTTGCAAAACTCTAATTGTGAAAATCTCCATGTTCATACTTTTGAAAGCATTCAAATTTCGTACGTGCCTCACTTTTTTAAAAAGATTTTAAAGATTCCAGGAGACAGAAGTGAGATTCAACTCTCTAAACGCAGATGTCTTGAGATTTATGCTGTTTATACTGGTTATCCTATGCTTTTATTTTTAAATTTATGAAAAAGAAAAAAAATAATATTCTTAGGCATGACTGATGACTTAGGCATGAAACAGGCATGAAACCTTCACATAGCCATACAAGTTAGTCTAGACACATTGTGGTTTTGTCTCCCCTAGGTAGAAATGGAGGTGTGGTCAGCTCTAGATATCTTCATTGTAGGTGTATGAACTTAAATAAGATAAATCTCAGGCCTACAATTGCACTTCTACCTACAGTGATTTCTGAATCCTTCTGGAGCCGGGGAATACATCCTACCTAGAACACTCAAGGACTCTGATCTTACTTTCAGAGCATTCCTGGCCATGCAAGAATGATGTTCTTCCCACACAACCACAGTTTTCTTTCAGACCCTAGGATCAGAGAAGACAGATAATTCTTTTGAGCTTTCCCTCCTCAACATTTTTCTAGATGGGACATGCCGTTAAAACAAAGCATCCCTAAGCAGCTGACTGGGTGTGAGAAGAGGGTGGGCAAGAAGTATAAGGCGCTTTCTGCCACTGCTTTGCCACTCTGCAGGAGAGACTCCTAGACTCACTGGATCAGGGAGCTAGTAATGGTGACAGAAAGTGACTTCATAGTCGTAAGGTGTGTCCCTCTCTGCTCCAGAGGCAATATATGTACCTCATGTGATTAAAAATACTTCTTCTGTCTCGATGTATCATAGCAAAGCTGTCATCACAACCCAGGTGAGTGCCCTTACTGCAAGGGAATATTACTATCTTCCTGATTTCCTGGATTTAAAATTGTTTACTATTCAGTAGCACAGTTTCAACCAAAAGATAAAGATTGTTTTTTTTTTCATTCCCAGCCTGTACACTTTCCTAGATCTTGATTTCATCTCTCAACCTTCTGATATCACACTTGCCTCCTCTAAGCTGGTGTGTAGATGTATGCTCTGATGAACTTCACAGTCTTCTTCTAAAAAAATAAAATTTAAAATATTAGGCACCATGTGGGGTTGCCCATGTACATTTGGACCACAGACTTCCATTTGGACCATGGACTCTGTACTTTCTCCCGTAGCAGAGCAAGGCCAGCCTGTATAGAATAAGATCATGGCTGGGGTGTATTGCTGGTGTCAGAAGACAGAAAGCATGCCTATGGCCTCAGTCTGTAAACATAATCTACGTCTCCTAAAAGGCTTATTTATCCTACCTCTTTCCTAACTATATATTCCTTTGGTTTTGTCAGCCTAGTGTAACTACACAGGCTACTTTCAGGAAAGCTGAAGGTTCAGTACCCTGAGAATCAATAGGATAAAAGTCTAAGCCACAGCTTATATTAGAGTGTTGGTGCCCTACGAGTCTTTGATTAGCAGAGTTTTACTGGTAGCAACATTTTAATGAATAGCAAAAATTCTGCTCCAGTTTGCATTGCTTTCGAGACATAAGAGGAACTTTGGCTTAATTAGATACAATTCCTCAAGAGGCTCCTACAACATTACTGTCTTTCTACAGGTTTACCTAAGGCAGTTTTATGGATGCAAACCGCTTCATTGCATGAAAAGTGGTTTTTATACTGTTAGATCTGGACCCTGGCTTTAATCTGAGAAGGCCAGAGTCTGGATCTCAATGGACAATCACCTTGATTCTTTTTACAGTGTAATAATCTTTGATACAAAGGAAAGGTTTACATTTTCATAAAGCAGTCTTAGGTAAATCTGCTAAGTCGACTTTTTAAAATGAAACTGCATTCCCTAACATGGGTTTGGAAGGCAAAAAGGAGAAACACAAGAGATACCTGAAACTGAGCATAGTTTTAAAATGTGAAGATTGCATCCATCTACATAGTCTGGTACTGACTGCTAAAAAACTAATGGGCAAAGCTAAGTATCTGCAGCATTTATTTAATGTGCATCAATGCACCTGCCTAAGCTCTAGCAAAAGACTTTTATCATTGTCATTAATTTCCAGAAAGGGCATAATGTCATCTAGCTGCTAGGGGTGGCCTCTTGTGACTGAATTTTTCTGAAAGTCAATCAAAGAGGGTTCTCATACAGTAGCATAAATCTTAGTATCAGAAAGGATTTCCCTTTTCATTTAGTGAGTATCATAGGGGAGAAGGATGGGGCATGAAGCAGTTCCTTTTGCAGAACAATATGCTTTTTAAAAGCTTGGTGAGTGATGATATGTTACTGGATGACTGTGTTTTTCATGTATATCAGACAAGGAGGTGTTAAGATATAAAATTTACCTATTCTAACAATCTCCCTGGAGCTTAAACAGTTATCTGGACAGTGGATAACACTAAACAGTTACTTTCCAATGCACTACATATGACAGTGCAATATTGACAATTGCAAACCAATCAGCATATTTTCCTAAACCTGATTATTATGTTTATTTTCCAGGAGGAAGTATAAGATAAAAGATAAAAATGAGGAAAAAATTAATTAAGTTCTCACACATGCTAGAAATTTCTACTATTTGTTTTATCACTATCAGCACAGGCAAAGCATTTTTAAAGTTGGGGTTTTTTTTCTTCATAGCTTGTTTTTCATTTGTGAGCAATGAAGACCGTATTAAACCAAAATTATTCTCTTGCAGCCCAACTTCAGTCCATAAGGCTTTTGAGATGCTTTGTGTCTAATCTTCTATAATAAATATTGCTACCCAAAGCAACATCATATCAAATTCTCTTAAACTAAGTGTGACAACAAAGAGCTCTTCCTTATAATTTTAACTAGTTCACAGTATTTTTCACAAAAGTCAGGTACAATAAAATATTATCAGCATAAAAAGGCTTTATTATTTGACAGTTGTAGAATAAACAATATTGGAGGGATTTTTGTAACTAAGCTGACCATATATGCTGAATCTATTCTCTTCAAACATAGTTTTATTTTTCAAGGAAAATATCTGTGGCATCATTCTTTTATAGAGAAGTTTAACATTAATCTACAAAGGAAATCTACCATGATTTATATAAAATAAATGTTTTTTTAAGTATTCAAGAGATTCTGTATAAGCATTGCAAAGCCTGTAATCCACACGCTGCAAGATCTGCAGTGTTTCATAACTTTGACAGTAGAATTAGAGATATGAGAATAATCAAGCCACTTTTTATCTCACTAGCCAGCATAGTGCAAGCTTCAGTAAGAAACCTTCAGTTGCTGGACCTCTTATTGGCACAAGGTCACGGCACTAAGTACTGAACCAGCAGGTTAAAACGACCATGGGCAATCTTAAGAATAAATTGCAACATCCATTGCTGTACAGGTAACGTTTTAGGCATATTCCTACTGGTTTTGATGTAAATAAAACCTACCAAGAACACTAAAACATTTTTGAAAAGCCATATGATCTATCAAGGTATTTCCAGGACTCCCTGAATTATTTACAATTTGGGGAGTCCCTAGAGCCTGGCTCAGGTCTTCTGGTCTTCCAGGGAACAAAATGCGTGACTGTTGTTGTTTTAGATCCAGAACTTCAGATTCAGATCTGTTACCTCCTGAATGATGCTTGGTGTGTTTATTCAGAGGCAGGGGGACATGCACCCCAGCGGGCCCCCGGCAAATTTCCACCTGACCGTCTGACACCAAAGGATAGTGATGCAGAATACACTGCAGTCCAGCCAGCCACAGAGGCAACCTCATTCTTCCCGATCACCTGCAGTCCCTGACAGACCCAGAGGAACCAGCAATTAGTAGGCCTCTGCCTTCAGGTTGGAGACAACCTCCAGAAACCATTTGTTCCCTGGTGGTTCCCAGTGTGGAGTTTTGCTATGCCAGCTGTTCCTCCTGCCCACGTGGCCGGCCACTCTGCTTGTACTCGGACAAGGTGGACTCTTGAAAGTGAGCTCCTCAGGGCATATTTCAGATGCTGCACAGGCAATGCCAGAGGAAAGAGAAACGACAGAGAATATAAAAAGTTGTGTCTTATGCACAGAACTGTCATGTACTAATGTAAATCAAACCCCCCTATATTTTAATGCATGTAATCTATTAGAGCATAGGATTTTTGTAGCTATACTTGCCCTCTTGTTCTCTCTTTCTCCATTTGTTCCTATATCAGGTCAAATCTCATGTGAAATTTTCTACATTGTACACGCATCTGGACACCCAGATCTCAGATTACTACAACGCGAAATAAACTACTGCTGGCAAGTGATGACTCTCACTGAGCTGTGACGGATATGGAAAATATTCGCTTAGTCCTATGCAAACTTCCAGTTGGATTTCAGTAAGATAACACCTATTTCCAAGGCTCATATTTCCTTTTTCCTTTTTTTTTTTTTTTTTTTTTTTTTTCTGATGCAGTAATTTGAAGTCAAAATATCTCTATTTTTAAGAGCCAAGAACCTGTGACATCCAGTCCCTGTGGGGGAAATATTATTTAAATAATTCCATATAGTCTCCTATGTCTGCTAAACGAGAGAATAAATATAATTAGAAAAATGTGACTAATATCTTTCTCTGAATCCCCAGTGTGCGTCTTTTTTAGCCATCTGTACTTTCTCCTGCAGGCCCTGATCCCACAAGTGCTAAACAGTAAGCACAGATAAGGGTATCTTATACCTCCTAGTATAGGAGGATCTTATACCTCCTAGTATAGGGGGATCTTCTACATCCTAAATTTCCAGCTCTTAAACTGTACCTTCTGTAGAGAAGGTGCCTTATTGACTAGAAAGTTCATCTTTACCAGCTTACCACTTTCAGCATTTTTTGTTCTTTCAGTATTCCCAACAGTTAGAGAAATACTGTTATCCTTCTTTGGGTGCAGAGGAGGAAGAGAGAAACAGAGTTAAATTACTTGCTCTGGGCCATACAGGGACTCTGTGACAAACTAGGATGCGATATTGTTAAATAATACTGTCAAGGAACACACTTCCCTCTAAAGCTTAACTCCCAGTTTAAACTGATATATTCTACAAATAGGCACCATGTTACAATACTGATGCTCGTTAAATGATAGATTGAAAGACAGTCTCAAAGTACCAGAGCAACACATGCTCTTTGAGCCTTCTTTGTTAATAAATTGTGAATCAAATGTATTTCATCAATAACCTGTTGTGAAAAACAATACTTTTCCTTGTTAGTTCAGGCAGTGTCACTACAAAAATTGTATCCTGTGTTTCTCATTTTATTTTGCAGATAAACAAGACTAATTACCATGGTTTGACATGCCATCTCCAGAACAGAAGGTACAGTACTGGAAGTTATAATACATTTGCAATACAGGGAAAATTTATTTTAAGTATTAAATGAAATGGCATTAACATAGAGTATGAAAAATTCTATTCTTAATAACATCTTTCTTGAAAAAACATTTGTAAAAATGGATTTCGGGTTTAACTGCTTCAGTCAAAATATTAAATGTTGTATGAAATCATATTTTAGAAAATAGGAAGCTTGTGCCACAAACAAAAAATTACTTATATTATTCAGGGTGTCTTGGGTGTGTTTTAATTTCTTAGATTTCATAATGCAAAGTTAATCCTTGCTAGACCTTAAATAAGTAGAAGGTTAGCAGAGTCAAGGAGTCCTAAAAGTCAAAACTTTTCACAAAGACCACTTTGCATTTTCTGGTTGATGAGGGCAAAATAACCATCGTGATCAATATGTCAAACAAAAGGGAGGACTATGTGGCAAATAGGTGGAAAAGTGTTTGAGGGATGTGGACATTTTAAGAAAGGAGATTAGAGAGATGCCACCAAAAGCCAAGAAGGGTATGAAAAAATGACATATTCAGGCAAGAAGAAATCAGAGAAGCAGAAAAATCATCATTTTTGATACCTCAGTCAGGCAGCACAGAACAGCTGTTGTGCCTAACAGAACAATTCTTGCACCTCCAGAAAGAAAAGAAATAAGAGCAATGTAGCATCTTCCTGATGAAAAGAAGTACATGTGGATGTCCTTGAGAATATAAATTGAGATCCCTGTTAAGGTCACAGCCCAGCAACTGTGGGAACAAAACAGATCCAATGACACCAAACAACTTGTCTGAGTTACTGATATATACCTAACACACAACATATTTTCTCCCATATGCTTCAGCAGGAATATTTGCTTGAAAATTTGTGTGTAAGCTGCAGCAGAGCTGCGGGAGCTGGAGAGAGCCTCCCCCCATGCCGTGGAGTTCAGTGCTGGGGGAGCTGGCAGCCTGGGCTGCCCACCTGCTGTGGGGGAAGGCCTGAGGAGCCAAAACTTTGGGGTGTATGGATCTGGTTGTGATGTTGAGAAGCAGCCGCTATCACTGCAGAAGAGTACATGTATTCAAACTGTAGGCATCTTCCTTCCTAAGTTTATGTAGCACATTCAGTGATTAAATAAAGCAAAGAGGTAATTATGCCACACGAATAGCCATCTGATAGCTTTCCAGGTACAATATAAACAGTCCTGAGTGGTTAACAGGGAAATACCTGAACAGACTAACTTTATCAGCATACACAAGACTTTGCTGCCTACAGAGAGCTTGCAGAGCACATGCTTAAGATACACAATCATAAGCACAAGATGAAACATCAAAAATAGGACTTCAAGGAAAAAGTAGAGCATTTCCCAGGACAGGCATCTGGATATTGTGAAAAATTAAATTTTGAATGAAACTGCAGCAGAAAAATCAAATAAAACCTAGGTTTTACAGACAGAGAAATATACCATATATCACAATACATTTTTACAGGACAGGCTTCAATAGCTCCCAAGAACCAGGTCACAACCTTAATGTTGGCTGACTGAAACTATTGCATTATTATCATCACAGATCACTTTTGCACCAAACGGATTTTAATACATTATAATGTTGGAATTAACTAGTATTTTCTGATAAGGAGCAAGTCACCTTCTATTATCAGGCATCTAATCATTTTAGTATTTTGCTGGTATGTTCTCCTCTAGTACATTCTGCCAAAGAAAATAGTTTGCCTGCCTGTAGAGTGGAAATAAAATCTGCCTGAATAAGATGCAGATAAAAATGGATACAGAAGCTAGCCCTGAAGTACTGTAGATTTCCCAAGGCCCTGCTAAGAACTCAGAGACAGTTATATTTGGCTTTAAGCACTCGAGCCCAAGTTTCTCCTCAGAAAATGATAGGTCCTATTCAGAGAGATTAAATGATGGCAAAGATATTTAAAGGAAGACCGAATTTTATTTATCTGTGATGTGCACTACATTAATCAGTGGAAGAATAGGTATGGTAGATAGTGAAAGATATCCTTGCAATGAATGTGAATTTGGAACACAGATAGTAAGTATGGACCAAATCTTTCATTTTAGCAACTGGGCTATGACCATAAGGGTGTGTCTGTATCAAGGACTGAAAGATTTATATTTTGGGGGTGGAGTTATGGATTTGGCTTGCACATATATATATATATGTATATATATGTATATATATATGGAGACTTATGGTACACACTCAAGCACGACTGGTGCATTTGAAGTGGTTTCTTTTTTAAACAAAGGTTTCTGCCATGCAGTATGACACTAGCTAGGAAGCACCATTTTAATGTGGATGTAAGTTCTTCCACTACAAAGGTCTTCACATTTTTATGACACATGCAATGTTAGATTGTTGGCAATCTGTTTATTATTTCATATCTTTGATGCTTGTTGACAGAGATGATGTTTCAGGTCTTACTATCAGTTATCAAATTATAATCACAGGTGGACCTCTCCACTATTTTCTATTTTTAATCACTTGGTGCTATGTCTTTTTAATGGAAGATAACATTTGGCAAAAAGGAAAGAAAAGTGTGCATTTAGTAGTTGTAATTGACAGAAACTAGAGGTAAATTCCTTGCTGTATAAGAAAAAAGCTGAAGTTGATGATCTAGAAAATTATCTCTTCTAGAAAATGCCTGTAGCCTACCCATTTGTAGATGAGGAAAGTAACATGCGCTTTTTACTGATTCTTGTATTATATAGACAGAAAAGGTGTGCCTTGCCCTCCTTCTCTTGGCACATTTTCTTGACTGAAATTCTCTTCTACTGCAATGATATATTTAAAGACAGGTCCTCCTACATAACAAAACCTTCTGAAGGCTAGCACTGCAGTGGTTCAGGTCAGCTACCCACATTCTCTTGTTCCAGTTTCTGAAAGGAAATTGCAGCTTGTTTATCCTGAATGCATCTCCAGCTGGCTCCCTTCTGAGTCATAGTCACAGTAGCAAGACTGAAAGAGAGATGAGCAGCACAGCTGGAGCCACGGCTTCCAGAGAAGGTTGTCCCACGACAGCTGGTCAGGGACAGCATGCAGGGATCTGGTGTGGTTGTCTACTGCTAGGTGTACGACCTTGAGGATTTCATAGAAACGGCTCTCTGTTTCTGGAGTCAGTGGGACTTTCTCTTCGGGGTCTCTGGAGAGATCAAAGAGCAGTGGGGGATCATGCCATGTGATGAATCCTCCATGGCAGAAGCAAACATGAGAATCATAGCAACCATTGGAGTCTTCAGGACTGAAGTTTGGAGTGAAGAAGAAGACTTTCCAGACAGATTCGCCTGCAATTTACAGACACAAAATAGCTGGTTACAAAATGACAAACTAAAAGTCCCCTAGTCTTATGAAACTCAAATTTACATCACAGGAAATTGGTCTTTTGGTACAACCTTGCTCTGTACAGCAACTGTAATATACTGAAGGAGTAAAACAAAATTGAGCAAAACAAAAATAAGCAAAACATTGCAATTTTCATGCTACACATATTTATGAAACAGTTATGATCATATAATTCCCTTGGAAGTATTCTGATTAAATAAATCATAGAAGACTTAAAAGAACTTTGTGATTTTACATAAACATTGCTAAGATTTGCATAAATATTTGCTAAGCCATTGTACTGTTTCTTCAAGACTTATTAAAATGTACCTTTACCCTTTGACCATATCCAGACACTGTCAGACCATATCTGCTTCTTATTTTGCTAATCAAAATAATTTTATTTTTAGCTTTTTCTCTCTCTCTTTTTTTTTTTTTTTTTTTTTTTTTTATATATATTAACCCATTGTCCTCTGCCACATACTTTCATTGCAAACACCTGGAGACAGAGTTTCTCGTTTTATTAAATGTGATTACATGAAAAGGTATAATGGATGTTAAATTCCTGTCTTAGGCCTCTAGATGTTTTTTTCCAAAAATGAATAACTGTTATGATAGTGCAATTTTTAGGTGACATTCTGCTTTCTAAAATGGAAACCAAAGGTCTTAATTTATAGATTGGTCATTCCCTCTCAGCCTAATTCGCTGTGTACAGAAAATGAACTGTCTGCACTAGTGTAAATTCAGTCATTATTTTCACTGTTTAAAAATAATTATTTCCTGGTTTAAGAATAAGCAGATATCAGTTGGTTCCTTCAAGAAGTTCTCTTGAACAGAAGGTACACTGGAGAATCTGGAAGGACTTAACAAGAAAGGACTAAACAAAAAATGGTTACTATTTTCCTCAAGTGTCACAGAACAGACAGGGAAGGCAGGAACAGACAGGCCTTTCCAGGGAAGCACACCGTCCTCCCACAGCCAGGGAAACATACAGTTCTTCAGAAGTGGATCAGAGAATAATTAATTAGAGTCAAAAATCCGTACTTTATAATTAATAAAAGTAGGATACTAAATAGGTGAGGTATAAGATGTCAGACTACCTACTCACTTGGGTGTATACAGACATCAGAAATACACATTCATCAATAATTTACATTCTTCAGCACCCTATTGAGAAAAACATTTTTTTTTTTCTATCACCTCATATTTTTAAATACTGGGGGAAAAACTGGTTTTGGCATTTCGTTGAATTTTGTTAAATTCACAGAAAGCTTGTTAATCTGGTAACAGATTGTCACAGATTTATGTGTGCTACAGTGGTTAATATTCATTAATCAATTCATCAATTGAACAGAATGGAAAGCAGTAGAAAATGTGAGAAGGCAGAGATGAACTGGCACTTGCCATGCTGCAACTACATCATACTCATTTTTCACAGATAAAAATGGGTTTAAAGAAATAAATGTTTCAGTTGACTAAAGAGTCACAGGCTGCAGTTCTAGTCTATAGCATGAATTTAAAGGACAGTAGCTGACCTTAAGATTCTTTACAGCTTCTCTATCCCACAGCATTTTTCACATTATAAGATATTTTACCTTTAGGAACCAATTCAATGACAGAGCCTGGATACTTCCACTTCACTTAGTTTGCTCTTAAATCAGGGTCGGAGGGGTGATGGTTATTATACACATTAGACTAGGAGCACCCTCTGAATTCTGCTTGGAAGTCCGCAAAGGGGAAGGAGCTTTAAAGGCTGAGAGTGACTTGCTGGCACAGACAATAGGACGTGGCAGGCTGTAAAAGGCTCTGGCTGTGACAGCAGCAATGGCACAGTCTTAATGGGAAAAAAGGAAGGCAAGGCAAGGCAAGGCAAGACAAGGCAAGGCATGGCAGCATTCATTCATCTACCTTTCCAATAAGATTTTGAAAGGCTGGTTTCATACTTTGATTCTCTTCTGTTTTCCCAGTATTAAAATAAACAAACAAAATCTAATAGTACCCCTTAAATTTCTTTGAACATATACATGGAACATTTCCCAGAGAATTTAAATTTTGGGAAGGTATTCCTTTAGGCTCCTTAAAAATATTTAATTGGTAAGATGGGCAATGAAGAACAGAAAAAGCCAAAGGGCTTTATTCATTGGTGCACTGTGTGCCTTTGTAGACCATACAATATTTGTCCCACCTAAGAATTTGATTCAGGGCACTATAACGCATTGATAGAAGAGCAGAAAAACAAAATATATATAGCTATTAAAACATCAACTAAAAGAGATTCCAGTAAGGTAATGCCCATGAGAACTTTGTGGTCAGGCTGTCTCACCACACATCTGTCTGATGGTACGCTTGTGCTGAACGGCATCGAAAAGAATTTTTCAGTCAGCTTTTTTTGATGTTGGGCACTGTAGCACCAGGCCAGCTGAAGGACTTACAGATAGCAATATAAAGCTGGAGATTTTGAATTAATGTAAGTCGGTACAAGCAGTTTACATAGGTAAGACAAGGGTAAAAGAAAGAAATAAGGAAGTTGTACCATGATTATTTTTCCCCATAGAATAAAGAATTGTTCAGGTTTGGCTATATACTGGCATATGGCATGTTACAAAATCATGCATCGAGTTGGGGACAGGACATGTGTGACATCACATGTCTGAATCACACTGCTAGTGTTTTGAAGAGACGATGTTAGTTTATCAGCTATGTCATTATTATACTGTACAAAGCACCGAGCTCTGGGAGAGCAAAGTCTCATTGTGCAGCATTCATCTGTTGCACTGCAGCAATGTTTCAGCAAGGATCTGGAACTTCATGTGGCACTGGAGGAACAGCAGTGCAGACTTTAACTGCCGATTTCCTAACCATTATAAAAACTAAAGCATATCTGTCAGTGTCTGCGGCTATGGAGCCGCCAGCATAATATACTAGGTGACATAAAGAGCTGTCAGACTTCGAATCTGTAAAGCTGATGAACTGTATAAGGCTTGATATTAAAAAGAGAGCTCTCTCCCAGTCTCTCTCATCTGATATATAATTTCATTTTGTCAGAGGGTTAACTACAAGGATCAAGTGAATCTCTCAGTAATTAGCAGTACCTTTGTTCTGCAAAGGATCTGGATAGTAAACTTTCTTTACATAAAAAGATAACTGTATGTCTCTTCTTCAGTGAAGATAGTAAAATTGTCAGGGATTCACCACAATCAAGTATATCAGGTCCCTTCTAAAACAGCAGGCAAGCTCTAAGACTGTAGCACCCTTCAGGACTCAGTGCCAATGCTTCACAGCTACTTTATTTAGCATCCATTTTTCCTGCAATTCTCCAGTTCTCTGAACTGTCCAACAATTTCACCTATTTGGTTCTCACAATACCTCTTCCCTTCACACACTAAGAAAAACAAAAACTACAGAAGTTGTACATATAGTCTCAAATTAAAATAGGTTGTATTTAATTCAAGCAAATCTGCTAAATGAAAATAACTGTTCAGAGTTTGATTTCCCTAACAGACTCTTCTTCTGTTTTATTATCCTTCACTCATATATTTATCCTCTCACACTTATACAGACAGCCATAGCTCCAACAGACAGGTAGCAGGCATGAGATTAAATAAAAGTCTCTCAGTAAAATACATTAATATTTCCAAGATGAAGTGACACACTGGATAGGGATGTCTTTTCTTTTATAATAGTACTGCTCTTAATCACTGATGGCTAAATGTTGTTTTCTGATAAGCAGTTCTTGAAGGGAATAGCAGCTATTGCTGTGTTATTGTCTGGACCTCATTTTTACTGAATTTCATCTATGACAGTAGCCTTATAGGTTTGCTGTTAGTGTCATCTCCTTTGTTCATATTATTTTGGTTCTTCTTTCTGTAGAAGAACAAGTTAAACAAGTCTGTTCTTCACTGTAAAATGTGGAGCTGGTTTCTCCTTGACTTCAGGTGCCTTTGAGCATAACCCTTTTGGCAAGGAGTACCAATGTAAATTGCCCACAGACTTTCCCTGTGTCGAGTGTGCTCTGTAGCCATTGTCAGCTCCCACATTCTAACTCATGCTCTTCAGCATTTCTACAGAGTAGCAGACGAAGGCTGCAACTCACTGTAAAATTACATTCTTCAGATATCTATTGTTAATAGATTGAATCTTTTCTTCCTGCTTCCTATATATTTAGAATCATTTAGAATTGTTAGGGTGTCTGCTAATCTCATATAAAATAGATAACACATGTGTATATATTCAGCTCTTCAATAATTTAACAATTTAGAAAAGGTTTTGGTTACTACATTTTTGTAGAGCTGTAGTTAGCACATAGAGAATACTATTTGGTTACTCTAAAGAAAATATACATATAATTTTTATGACTATGTGCATTCCTCAAACAGCTAATAAAAATCTGCTATTTGAGTGTAAAAATTTGTAATTTTATTGTTCTTTCATTGAAAATTTGTATTTTTGTAGATACTTGTTTTAAGTATCTTGCTATCTTACGATGGTATATTGTTACATCAGTGAAAAGACAATACATTATGTCCCAGTGTAGGTGGAGAACAACTAAGTGATATTTAAAGACAGAATATTAGTTTATGAGAATCAGTTGCTGCATAAAGAACTGTGCAGGACATACAGTATTTGAGTTAAAACCATGAAAAAAAAAAAAAAAAAAAAACAACACAGTAGCAGCATTGCTTTTAAAATCTTAAGCATAGAAGCTGCAGTGTTAAGTATCCTCTAAAACAGAAAGGATTACACACTGGTGGATATCTAATAATCATACTGAACAACTGTTGGAGGAAAAATAAGAGACACAGTGAAACCACACTCAGACTGCTGAAGTCAAGACAGAAATCTCATGACTGAGCTCATTATCTAGAGAGTAAGTGCTGTGGTATGAGAAGCTTCCACTGAATTCTGTTCAAAACTAAGATTATGTGCTGAACAGTAGCAGCTGACAAATAATTATTTTCCTGAA